GGACTGACTTTAGAATACATTTAGAAACACACACACACACACACACACACACACACACACACACACACACACACACACACAGACAGACACTTACAAATAGCATTAGCACTCACAACCCTCCACTGCTTTGCCTGTTTTGTCCTTGTGCATATTTTAATGACATCATCAATAATGGACATATACCCTTTCTGTGGTAGTACAAGCTACGACACACACACACACACACACCACATATGCATGGTGTCTACTTTCTACACTGAAAATCACAAGGCAGAAAGGAGTGAGCTAAGCTTAGTAGTTAATTAGTTAACTTACATTTTGCCTTAGATTAGTTTGGCAGTCTTTTATCCAAAAGACAGTTATCCTACTATTGAACTTTGCAGAACAGAACTGGGTCACATTACATCAATTACCAAAACCACATTTATGTATTTACATCAAACTCTGATGGACTGAAAATATGGTGGAGCAATATTTTAGATTTTGTCTGGTTTCAGTGAAATTATCAAACAGCATCTGCAACAGAGATGTTTAGTAGGGGCTGGAGGATGGAGGATGGAGGATGGAGGATGGAGGATGGATGGATGGAGGATGGATGGATGGATGGATGGATGGATGGTTCAGATTGATAAAAAGACACTGACATTGGTTAAATGGAGAGAGATGCCACAAAAAATGAATGATAACAAATAACACTTACTCCTCTGAACTGTGCATCATTTTTTCTTCTTTTGCTTTTTCAGCTCAAGACCAACATCCAAAGCAAATCTATGTGTGTGTAGGTGTGTTTGTGTGTAGGTGTGTTTGTGTGTGTTCCTTGGGTGAGATCGACGTGGCACCACAAGCTCAGGGTCAAACAAAAACACCAGACAGAGAAAGAGTTGGGACAGTTGATGAAGAGGAGGATGAAGTAAACGTAGAAAACAGAGGTGGTTGTCTTCTCCCTGCCTGCTCAGGGAGAAGATCGTCCTTGCACTGTTAAATGATTTCTTCCAGTTGAACTCTTCTCCCGATATCAGTCAAAGGGAGATCACTGAGCGATCACAGAGAGAAAACAAAGATTGCATGTCTACCCAGAGTTCCCTGGGTCACCTTGGCGTACAGTTCACACAGTAAATCGATCCGTTTATTGCCATTTCAATAGCTATTCAGGTTATTCTTGTCGCCCAGGAGCTGTGCTCCGGACAAACTGCAGTCAGACCCCACAGGTACTTTTTCTAGATGCTTGTATTTAATGACTGTAAAAGCAAAATGAAGCAGTTGGAGGCCATGTTAGTGCAGAGAGAGAAATTAAATTAATCATCTGAAATAACCACACACAACATGCAATAGAAAACAAATTTTGTTATCTTGTGTTTTTTCCTTTATTCCAAACTGATATCAACTAAAATATTGGATTGGAAACCTTATGTCAATGCTGATCTGTCCCAGCTGATGAAAATACGGCAGGAATACAATATTAAAGGGAAACAGTCCTCGTCCTAAACATGAACGATCATGGTGAAATTTAATTATTATATATATTATTTATTATCAAAATCTCTCTCTCTTGCCAATTCCATATGTTTGGCTGTACCTCTGTCTCCCACTAGATGGGGTTGTGATACTACCAATGATCCACAGCAGCCATTCATCACTGACCCAGCACAGCGGGTGCACTGAGCCAGGGCTCTAATTTACTAACTCAAGCCAACCTTTCTATAGCAGATCATTTTAACAGCACTGTAATCACACTTACAGCTCAGTACCTTACCACACTGCATGGTATTATACATCTCTGCAGGTCTGCAGCCTGAAGTTTACTGAAGCAGTCTGGTCTAAAGGAAGGTGAATCAGTAGATTGATGTTTCCTCTGTTGATTACCTTTTGTTCAGATGCCTTTGAGCAATGCATCTGTGCCTATTGTGGTTTTCTGGCAGCTTCTGGCCCACGGGTTAAAATGAAATGTTTGTGTTAAGATAACAGATCAAGTTATAGAGGGGGAGACATTGAGATAATAGAGTAAAAAAAATTAGAATGATTTATTATCATGAATATTATTGTATTATGTGACGATATAGACAAACAGTATACAAAACTGTGGAGGTGAAGGGGCGGAGAGAGCACCTTCACCTGCACCACTGAGGATCAATCAGCACAGGTGAGAGCTGTTAGCTGATTGATCCTCAGACTTTAAAAGGAGGCAGCAGAGCTGCCTCGGTAGAACACGGGAGAACTCTCGAGAAGGCACAAAAAGAACACGGAGAACACTGGGTGAAGCTGAAGGTCCAGCAGAAAGTGCTGGACAGTTAAGTTACATGTTGTAAGTGTTCAGTTTGGCCTAAATAAAGAAAGATGTTTCTGAACCCGCAATGGTTGGACTGGTTCGTCTCTGGCTGTCGTGGGGGGAACCCGGTGGCGTGGTCAAACGCCACAAAAACCAAATATTATTATTACTGCTGCGAAAGTCAATTTCTGCGTCTTATTCTTCATCCATGACTACATTCATCTCAGAGCTGGTCCCACAATGTCACTTGCTGATGGGTGATGACATATGGCTGAAGCTCATGCCCCCCTGACAGGCCATACACACACATGTTACAGCAACACTTAAAGTAGTGGGTGTGTCTGAGCATATGTCTGCTACTGGACGTTAAAGGCATGTGATCAGAACCGTTTGTGTGTGTGTCTGTCTCAGTGTGTACGTGTGTGAAAAACATTCATCGTATGGAATATGCTCAGAAAATACATGTGTCAGCAAGTGCTGGGCATGCATGTGATTGACATATGTCCACGCATAACCCCCCTATGTTTACATGCACTGTTTTCTCTGCGTGTGCATGTGTGTGTGTGAATTTGTACATTGAGCACAAGCCTGTGTGGTTGTAATCCGCACTGGGCAGCTGCGCTCATTCGTATTCAGCCCTAAGGCACATCTAGGCTGTCCCACTGATTAGGGATCAGAGAGATGGAGAGAGAAGGAGAGAGAGAAATGGCGGAGAATGAAAGAGAGAGAGAGAGTGAGAGACAAAGGGAGAGAGCTGGAGACAAAGCAGGATATAGAGGTCCTCTCCCATTAAGTAAACAGTTGGTTAATGACTCTAATCCCATTAAGCAGGGGAAGCAGCTTGCCCTGTCACATAATACATTAATATGTATGTGTAAGTTTGTGGTGTACGTTTTCTTCTTCTCTCACACAAACATGTACAAACACTTGATACACTTACACCCAGGAAATTAAATTGATTTGCCCTCATAAGCTTTCATCAAAGCCCCCGATGTTACACTGTGAGCTGCTAAGGAGGCCTGAAGAGCAGACTTATGAAAATGACATGTAAATCAAATGAGCGCTGTATATTTTCAGGCCCGATTCACCAACAATTATTGTTTTGACCTGGCTCCTCAGTCGACAAAAGAAACCTGCTTCCCCTGAGGAGCAGGAAATCAGCTTTTCAAGTGCTCTTGTGTTTGAAGAGTGGAGGGCAAGGCAAGGAGTGATTGCGGCACAGTGTGCAGAGGATCAGACATGGAGTGATTAGAAGTGGAGAAAATGCAGCAAAGGCCAAGGCTGGCTGTGTGATTCTCCTTCACATATAATATACAAATAAGCAGTACTTGACACAGTGTTTATACTACTGACTGAGCTGGTGTGAAAGAAATTATAAAATGTTAAAACAGTCTATACATTTGTGCATATTTAACCTCTTAAAAAATATGTCTAGGGTGACATAATAATGAAGTGTCTGATAAAGGAACTGTGAACCCATCAATAAAGTAACCCATCATATGTAGCACGTGACTGCAGCATCTACAATACAGAACTGGTGGTTCTAAGTAAAGCAAAAGTGTTACTCAATTAAAAATCTGGATCTTTCAATGTCACCCTGAAAGGAGGTGGCCACTGAATAAATCTGCAGGTGGAAACTATGATTAAACAATATATATTATTTTGTTCAAACAAGATTTAAAAATAATAAGAACACTTATAGGCGATTGTATGTGTCTTGAGGGAAGTTTGCTTCATACTCACTAAATGATCACCTACATTATTAATAGTACACTTTAAGTGCTGTGAAGAACGTATAGATACACAGACTGACACACAGGCGCCAACATGATGACATCATGCTCAGCATACTGTATACAGTGGAAGAACAATAAAATCTAGTGTTTTGAGAATGCATAAAAATTCTCATCTTCATACAGTTCAACAAAGACTAAAGATTAATGTCATAATAAAAGCCTGGGATAGAAAGGTCTATATCTAAAGCAACGGAACTTTGTTTACAATATTTGATTCATTATACTTGGATCCTTGAGCCAATCCCAGTTTACACAGACACCAGTGTATTATTATTAAATTTATTGTTTTTATTCTGTGGTACAGGCACATATACAGCACTAAGTACTTCTTAAATACACACATACATTAATCAACAATTTAATATAATAAAACATATTATATTATGATGTAGGATTGGCCACTTTTTGTAGGGTTGACTTTAGAATGAAATTAGAAACACACACACACTCACAAACTTGATTGCAAACTTACGCTGAGCTTTAGATCAAATAAGTCAGTTAATTCAGTTGAATGATGTAAATAATATTTGGGGGAACATTGGCTAAATCACATTCATATATAACCCATATAATAAGTCAGATATCTACAGCTCATTGGACAAACTAAGAGGAAATATTTATAAAAAATGATCAGTTTTCTCTGTAATGCAACTGGTGGACATCTAAACACACATACTCCCAATTTTTGGTTCTACCCTGCTACACGAGGGTCATAAACATAAATCGATCAATAATTATTATATTTATTATTTATCATCTGACACTAGGTTTATAGGATTGTTTTTTCACTGTATGAACTTTTAGTACTTTGAGTACCTTACCAAAGCCACTAGATAGCAATGATGCACATAGTGTCACTGTTTACTTGATGATGTGGGGCAGTTTAGAAATAAACACATTGGAGGGTAATTGTATTAGATATTTTATTTGTCCTTTTTAAAAAAAAAATAGAGTTAAAATAGTTGGTTAAACAAAACTACATGAAAATGCAACTTCACACTTCATTTACACCATTTAAACTATTTACAATTGTTTAAATTGAGTGCCATCGTCCAGGTTCCTTTGTATCCGAACACTCTCTTTCCACACTTTACAACCCTGCCCAGAAACATCCTCATCCTCTTCAGACTGCTGACTCTGGCAGGATGAGTCTCTTCAAAGATCTGTATCTCTTGAGCTGGATCAGGTACGTGGTGGCTTTCAGCTGATTCCTCTGAAGTTGAGCCAGCAGCATCAATGTCTGCAGCTGCAGTCCCATCACATGGGGGATCCAGGACTTCAACCCTGTCACTGGAGTGAGGAGCAGCTGAGTCTGTGTCATCTAACAGTGGTATGGCTGAAGCCTCCTCCACCCTGGGCTCTTCCCCAGCCGACATCCAACATTAATTCTCCTATTGGATTTAGACAAGATTTTGTGGCAGTATTTAACATTTAAATGTACACATATTTGAATACTTACTTCCTGGTACTCGCAGTCGATTGCAAATGAGTTGTTGGGGAGGTAGAGGAAAAAAAGCATGCATCCAACATCCCACATATTGATGGCCTCTGGGACAGGGAGGCCTAAAAACAAGAACCAAACGAGCCAAACATGTACTGAAGACTGCATGACATCATTTCTGCTGGATCATTTACAACAGAAACACACAAGTGCACACATGTTCAAAGATGAGGTTAGCACATTGAACCTACCTGTAACCAAGGAGCTGGGAGTTCATGTGTGTCCTGTGAGGTCATGAGAGACCAACCAAAATCAATAACTCTTGATTTGTGGTTCACCAGCATCACATCTGGTTTGAGGTCTGGTGGACCACCCCAAAGCTTTTTAGTGCATCAAAAGCTGTCAGCAACTGCAGAATGTAAAGCGTTAGTAACAGATCTAGAAGATATACAGGTATGTTACCACTATGATACATTGATTAAAGAGCCACATCATCTTTACCTGGTGGGCTATGGGCCGAAACTCGCTCAGAGTCAGCGGTTGTCTATGCTGTTGTTCCAGCAGCTCCTACAGGTTCATGTCCAGCCGCTCAAACGTTTGCCGACCTGAAACTTCTCCTTGCAGTGGACCACGTTCGTTTTAGCGGGGTCAAGAGCGCTCACAGCATCAAGCATCCTCATCTGTGGAGGAAAGAGGATATAGGAGGTGTGGGTGACAAGTTATGAGCAAGAAAACCTGAAACAAAACTTGGAATGAATTAGATCTCCCAAGGGAATCTATAAGTGTGTTTGCAGCAACATGTGTTAATGAAGGCAGGGCTACACAACTCTTTGGAATTTCTTACCATAGAAACAGCAAAACAACAAATTTGGTCAAAATAGAGAAAACCAAGGACAAATGGTTGGGGGTGCATGAGGATTACAGCCAACCATCCCACCAGGTTCTTCTTTATGTGATATTGATTTTTAACGGACCACATGGATTGTTGAAGTTTATTCCATTTTAGATATGTTTGCTTTACACACGCACACACACAGGCACACACACACACGCACACACTCTGAGACAACTTGATTTCTACTGTTTACAGTCCACATCTGAGGGGGAGGTCTGACTGACTCGTCATTCGACCAATCATATATCGCCTTCGAATCGGCGTTCGTCCAATCACGGAAGAGAGAGACCGGACAGCCCCGCCCCTGAACTGGAAATTGAAAAAGAACGTCATCTGCTTCATACATTTAGCATTAGCCCAAATTAGCTCAGCGTCTCCAACCGAGTTGTTTTCCTCTTCAAGCGACTCCCGGCGTTGGCGGCTTATCGATGTGGTGCTGCCGGGGCGGACAGAGCGAGCCATGTTGGTAAAAGCTTTACCCCGGTGCAGAGACATGCTGAAGGGAGAACCGACCGAGTGAAATGCTGGCTAGCGTGAATCAAAGCTAGCTGACGAGCAGGGGCCGAGAAGCGAAAGTGGCTAACATAGACGAGAGCTAAGCCCATCACAACAAGCCCGGGCACTTAAACACACCCGAGCCCTAAGCCCCGAGGAGAAGGACCGGCGGAGGAACTCCATTTTATACAAAGTGAGTAACGTCAGGTGCTGGGATCTAAGCTAAATGTCCACTGCATGTATCCTACTAACACAAGCTAGTCGTCCGCTAACGTGGAGACAACACTTTGACAAGTGTGAACTTCTCGAGCTGCTTAGCTGCTAACACAGGTAGCCTCGTTGTCGCCGAACTCCGAACCAGTTCATCTCATTATGAACAATAAGAGACACATGCTGCCACACTTGGTGGTTGACGGGGATAAAAATGTGATGTCAACAATCCTGCTCATGTTACGCTGGTTATGACCACGCTGGGTCCCATTTTGTTACGTGACAAGCGTTATTTTGTTCCCAATGTTCTTAACCACTTTAAATGTGCTATTAGCATCATACTGTCGCCTGGTAGAATGACTGAATGAATGGATATGAATCCACTGTGTATTCTCACACCCTTCACATTGCATTTAAATCTATTCTTGTTTTGATACCATCATGGTTTATGAACTGTAGGATGTTTTGCCATTAATTCATGCTACTCTGAAAGTGACTTGACATTTAATAAGTATTTTAATGCCACATGAATATTTGCAACAGGTGTGACTCATACCTGAAGCTGGTTTAACACATTGTTTATTCTATTATCTGTTCAGAATAGTTTTTTTTCCTAAAAGAGGCAGGAGAACAATGTCTATGCCAACCTACACACCAATGGCCTACTGAAATTAATATTCTATTATCTGGTGACAATTTACTTTGCAGGGTCTAACTCAATTAAACATTTAATTATCCTTCGAGGTTTGTACAGAACACCAGCGCAGGAATCAACTTGTTTTATTGCATTGTTGTGGGTAGGTTTATTGGGTTGTTATTGTGTGTGTGTGTGTGTGTGTGTGTGTGTGTGTGTGTGTGTGTGTGTGTTTGTGTGACGGTGTGTTCCAGAAATGGCAGCATCATCACTGGCATGTTTGTGTTGGCACCCTGATGTGAAATCCTGCACAAGCCATGCTGTTTTAGCCAGTGACTGCTGCGAGTCTACCGTCCAAAGGCATTTATCCATACAGTTTTGGCCGTGCCTATTGACTGAATCACTTTGCACACAGATGTACACTCGCGATATGCTGTTAACTGGCAGGCTCAAAATAACTGAATGAATGAATTTGCCAAGTGCCAAGAAGGGCAGTTGGATTAACTGTGCGAATGTGTCTGAACAAGAAAAGACTGATATACAGATTCATTTTCCAATAACACTGTTTTCTGTTTTAGAATTAGCCAGTATTATTTTCCCTGTTTATACCGATCTCCCAAATGATGTCTGGGGTGTACATAATTATCCTTCATACTAAATTGTATCTCATCTAATATTTTAACGTTTTTAGCCTTCCATTGCTTTCCTCCTCAATGTTTTCAATCTGGACTACATTAAACCTGTAAAATGCATACATAACATGTCATTCATCCATATCTCACTGTTTCTCAACTTTTGAGGCCTGGGAGTCAAATTGAAGACACACCAGTTATCCTGATAACAAGAATAGGTATATACTAGCACATAAGCTCCTCCTGTTGCCAAGAACCCACTCACAGTGTATCACGACACGTTTACCTCCACTTTGCCTATAGTCTGTCTGTAGACTCCAGTCTGGTCAGGTAACAGCTCAAGCTTTCCTGACGCCACTGCACTAAAGATGACTGAAGCTGTCTGTTCAAAGAGCACTTGTTCCAGGAAATTGACTTCTTCTGATGTGGCTTCAGTGATGAGTCATCAAAGAGGGGAGATCAGAGATATCCCCTCCTGGTTATACCACCTCTCTAATTTGTTAGTCAGAGGCTCACTGAGGGTAAACCTGATTCTGTTCTAACTAAAAATCTTCATCATAACTGGGAATAGTACATTACACCAGCTATTCCAGATACATTTTAGCTTTTTACAAATGTGGATGTGGCGAATAGACATGTAATCAGTGGAAAGATGATCATCTACCCAAATTGCAACATTAGCTAGTAGAAAATTTACCTCATGCTCTCAGTATGTGCTTTATTAACTACAGATATAAAGTGCAAAGTGTAACTGAATCACTGCATTTACGACTCAGCTTTTTGTCAGTCTTTCAAACAATATTTCCCACAGAAGTATACTCTATCTGTGGTGGTAGCTAGTACAGCTGATACATAACAGAATATATATACAGCTCTATCTCTTTTTTGTAAATCTCACTGGACATCTCTCTCTTCACACCACTCTTCCTTCTTTACTGTCTCGTGCTGCATCCAGTTGAAGCCTGGAAATATTTGAAACTACACACTGGCACTTTTCAGCTCACCATGTGTTTCCTTAGGTTATAGGTACTCTAGTCCAGACTGTCTTTGTTCCTTCTCAGGATCATCCCCTTTTGAGTTTAAAAATATGCTGGACTGTTAAGGCAAACACTCAAAATCACAATTTGTCTCATAGGGCTTTAAACAAGGTGCGGCATCCTCTGTCCTTAACCCTCAACAAGAATATGGAAAAACTACTAAAACAACTATTAACAGGGGGAAAACAATGTGTGTAGAAACCTCAGAGAAATCATTAACCTCATAAACTTAACTTTAATCATTAAATCATTAACATCAACATTATCCACTCTCAAGAGCACTTGGTAGTAGCCCCAGTCAGAAGTGAGAATTTTGGGCCTTTATTTCACCTCGCTCTGTGTAAAAGTTAACACAGTATGGGAGTGCATTATTATACCAGCAATAAGTATTTAACTGGCAGTTATACCAGCCTTCTTCTCTGAAGGGAAAAGCCAACAGTAAAAATCAATATGTGGTGCTCAGTCTTGATTTTGTGGAAGGCTGCCACAAATATATCAATATATGGCAAACACTTAAACAACACAAGGTACTTAACTCACATAATTGTTCATTTATTTATTATTGCTCATTATATGGGGAATTTAGTGGACATGGACAACAATAGTGTCTCGGATAAGAAAATACATTATTGGAGTCATTCCAATTAGCTCCTCAGTTAGTGAGTGCTGCTTTTTCCACTGTTTATTATTTTGCGCAGCATGATACTGTAATTTGAGTCCACTAGGGTTTATTAATTCTGATCAGACATTTATACAACACTAGACTCATTTCATAGTGGATTATCTTGAATGAGTGCTGTTTCTTCATAGAGGATATGCGTTACGTCAGCTGTACTTGCTGCTGTTCTCGCTGCTGTACTCCAAACTGAATCAGCCAGTTTGACTACTGTATGCAACTACACTTTTAGAATGAAACTGGGCCCTTATCTGGTGTCTACATCTCATTCTGTCTGCTGTTCTTTTTTTCCTAACCATATTTAAATCATTCATGTGTTGATGTTTATGAGAATCTCACTCAGCAGCATCCTTCTAGTGTGTAGTGTCTTTTTTCATATTTCACAGTTTCCTGTTCACAAGCAGTAAAGTTGAGTCATTGTCATATCATCATTTTGTGTTGGTTCATAGATGGACACACCACTAATCGGTATCTATATGTGTATTTATATCACATATTGTACATTAAATTTCACCAAACAAGACTCAGAAGAGAGAGTGGTAGTCTTTGTTTGACGAGCTAATCTGGCTCTGCGTGTATCCCATCAGCAGCTGACTGTTAAATTGAGTTAGCTGTTAAAGCTGGCCTGCTTGTCTGAAGTCTGAATTGCGGGTGTTCTGGGTCTGTCCTCAAGTTTGACTCTCAAAAAGCATCAGCCATTCACCTCATCTTGCTATGTGCGCCTTGCAAGATGTGAGAGAGAAATGGGTTGTGTTTTTTATGGATTAAAACGTAAGAGGTCAGTTTTGCTGTTGAGATCGAACTTAACCCCATGTGCACACCATAAATGGCCACACAAATGCACACAAGCACACTCACACAGAGCGGCGTGGCTGTGCAGTCCCCCCTGTCACATGCTACAACCACCACCATCTTTCTACTTCTGTTGCCACGGCAACCACTCAGCTGCCACTCCAAGCTGTGTAACCATGGCGACTCTAGACTGGGTGTCATCACTCCCTGAAGTTCTCAGTGCTCACATTGATGTTATGTGTAGTGGTTTTTATTTCTCTTTTTATGCAACACCAACAGAATATGTCACATGTTGTAGTCATAGTTGTTGATGACATTATGAGCCTTTAAATGACAGGGTCCTTGCCTCTGTCCAGTGTGTGTGTGGTTGTTGATTGTGTGAAAGAGCAAATGATTCTGGTTTGGTGATTGCACAAAGGGCTTTGATATCTGCTATATAAGGAGTTAAATGCCTGAGTGAATGAATTCGTTGTCAAGGTTCTGACCAGTGATGCTTCCCAGCCCTTTGATATGTAATCAGTGGCCAAGTGTGCATCTGTGTGTGTGCGTCTGAAATAAAGCACGCCTGTTGTATCGCTTGAATGAATTCGGAAGCCTGGAAGTCACACCAACCACTTTGTTCTAAAAGAAAACAAAAAATAGTGTTCTTGCTACATCAAACTGTGTGTGTCACTTCTGTCAGTCTGTTAAGTCCGTGTTTTGAATTCTTAACCATAATGATAACGATAAGAATTATTTTAACAATAATTGGCTCTGAGTACTTGAAGTCAACTTCAGATTCCTGTCATCTATCCTAAACCCTTGTTTGGATTTTTTGCATAAGCAGTTTTTCAGTTTTTATTAATGGAATTATGAAGATGTTTTCAATTATGTTTTGAGTGAGTGATATTTTTATTCTTTTGCTAAAGTACTATGTTTGACATGCTCCACTGAATCATTCTGAAGCAGCCTCCAGCTCAATATTGTCATTTGACAGTTTGTATTAACATTATGATGTTAAATATATACTAGTGTAGATATAATGTTCAAGTACTTTCTAGTAGATATCAGTGTAGTGCATGGTGTGAAGCTTTTGCTTTGATAAAACTAGATGCTATATATTTTGTAGGAAAAAGCTTTGCATCTTGCACATGTAATACCAGTAGCAAAATTTTAACTGCTTATATTTTATCAGTGATTTTAATAAAAGTCCTTTATGTCGGCTTTTCTCAAGTCTTCAGTTAGGTCCTAGTGATTTTATTTGAAATTCTCAAGTGTCCAGCCATAAATTTGGGACATGAGCTCCAGCTGTGTAGCGAAAGCAGCACATCAGCAGCACAACAGGAAGAACCTCAAACCTCTCACTTAGGATCCGTTAAGCCACAGCACTACTGTTCTCTCACAAGTGATTTTTACAGTGCTCAAAGTACAGTACAGGATAATGTACTTGGACACAGTAAACCGAAGACCTTTCCTGTTGTAGTTTTCTACACATGAAATGTGAGTGAAGTGCAATCTGTCATGTGGGCAGTGTAGACCGAGGTATAAGTTAAGATTGGAGCTTATCTGCTCTGTCAGATGTGAGATAGTGAACTGAAAAAAGCAGCCGCAGTGCAGATAGGGGTGACTTTGTTAAGCTCATTGACTCCCCCCCATCATATGCTAGTTAGCCTTTTTTGTTTCATTTTAGCTGATATAATCGGAACATTGCGTTAACCTTTGACCTTTATTTATGGATCAACAGAAATATTAGAGTGTGGAAAAATGGGCTGTCAGCCCTCAGCCTTAACCATGTGTACATTAAGAGACCGGAACCTTGAGTATGCCAACAACTTATTTCTAAGTCATATTCATTGATATCCTCAGAAATAATGTACAAGTTAACAGTGCAATATCGAGGCTAAGAGGCCATAAAGTAGTGTGACAATCAATAAGACTGTAAGTTGTTCTCATTTCGTTACCAATTAACAAATGCTGGATACAGAATCTCTGGCTGCTATCAAGCAGCCTGATGCTGCCATTCATTTAGCTAATGCAGGTGCAGTAGACAGATAACACATTATCTCAAACACTCGATCGAGTTTGGTAATGCTCTTAGTAGCCAGTTGTGGCCAAAGAAGCTTTTAAGCTCTTCAGTCTTTTTAAGCAGAAACCAAAGTGCCTGTGCTATTTCTGGATATGGTGAGCAACGATCACTGTTGATTTATTATTATACGCCCAGTTGAATCACTGGTTGAATTATTTGTTGTAAAGTTAGCAGTGAAAGAAACACACACATGCTTGAAAACTACCACAGTCCAAGTTCAACAACTGTGGGACATCTGCTGGGTTCATGTTTTCAGACTCTCAGTGTTGAGATCCATAAATTGTATTTGTTGGCTGAGAAAACTTAACTACTACAATTTAGAGTGGAAGCCTGAAACACGTTTTAATTATTAAGTACCATATCAAAATAGGATAACAATTTAGCAGTCAGTTATTGTACTTCAGTAAACACAAATGCATAATGACAGAGAGAAAAACACCATACATGTGATATAAGTTTCCACCCAATGAAAAAAAAATTACTTTCATGGTGGCTGTCATTTCCCCTAATGTTAGCAAACACGTCACAACTCTTCTCGTGAGCACAGTAAACACTACCTAATTCAAAGGCAGTGATAATTGGATTGAAAAGTCGGCAGTGAATGTTCAAGATATATTTGCCAATAAGCTTTGCTGTTGGGCCAACCCTGGCACTGCTACATCTAAATTGAATGAAGACTTAATGTTATTAGTGTCACCTGTGTCAAATGTCAACTGTTGGAGAAAGTAAATGTGGGACAGTGTAAACATCCCGTAGAAATGGAGAGCCCCTTAAATTAGTGCAGACATTTGTCATAACTTGAAATAGTAGTTTCTTTTCTAATTGCCAAAATAATATAGATTTGAAAATTGTGTTGTGTTTATAGTTTGGAATTCCGCACAGCTTTTGAGGTTGTAATGAAAATGCAAGTTGGTGAATAAGAAGATAAAGAATCTGTATTGTTGTCAAAATATGAATTTTGTTATTTTGTCAATATAGTGAAAGTGCAATTCTGAACTGTTTATATTTTTTCTTTTTTACCCCCTCTCACACAGGTAGCAGTGGGTCTCTCAAGGTCAGAGCCATGGGTGCGTTCCTGGACAAACCCAAGACAGAGAAGCACAACTTGCATGGTGAGGGCAACAACCTACGCTATGGCCTGAGCTCCATGCAGGGCTGGCGGGTGGAGATGGAAGACGCTCATACTGCTGTGTTGGGACTTCCTACTCCGGGTATGAGTGACTGGTCGTTTTTTGCCGTGTATGATGGTCACGCTGGCTCGAGGGTTGCCAATTATTGCTCCAAGCATCTCCTGGAACACATTATCAGTTCCAGCTTAGGGGCCAGGGGTACACAAGGCTCCCAGGCTGGTTCAGACAGTTCCACCGGTGACCCTCCAGCACCAGTTCCTCCTACAGTGGAGGCTGTAAAAGCAGGGATCCGGACAGGGTTTCTGAGGATTGATGAGCACATGCGCAGCTTCTCGGACCTTCGCAATGGCATGGACCGTAGTGGCTCAACAGCAGTGGGAATCCTCCTGTCACCTGATCACTTTTTCTTCATTAACTGTGGTGATTCTCGAGCTGTTCTCTACCGCAATTCACAGGTGTGCTTCTCCACACTTGACCACAAGCCTTGCAACCCACGCGAGAGAGAGCGCATCCAGAATGCTGGCGGCTCCGTGATGATTCAGAGGGTTAATGGGTCACTGGCTGTCTCGAGAGCCTTGGGGGACTACGATTACAAGTGTGTGGATGGGAAGGGCCCCACAGAGCAGCTGGTCAGCCCAGAACCAGAAGTGTATGAGATGATTCGGGCCTCAGAACAGGATCAGTTTGTGGTCCTGGCGTGCGATGGCATCTGGGATGTCATGTCCAATGAAGAGCTGTGCGACTTTGTGAAATCCAGGCTCGAGGTATCCGATGACCTGGAAAGAGTCTGCAATGAAGTGGTGGATACCTGCCTGCACAAGGTGTTTGCACATTTGTTTTTGAATGTGACTTTTTTTGCATTGCTTCTGTGATGGCTTCTGTTTTCTAATGAGTTTAGAGTTTAAAATCTGGCAGATTAAAGTCCTCCAAGGACACTGATTCATATGTAATGGTATCCTGAAGAAATAGTATGTGTACATATATCAGGGCTCATGTGCTTGACTTCTGTAGGCTTGAAAGATGGCTGTAAAAGGCTACTTGATTAATCCTGACCAGTTTCAGTTTTGCTATGATGGAAAAACTCAGTTGTGTGCTGCAGCAAATAATTTCCCTTGACTTGTGCCTAGGAAATGACCACTGTTTCTATCAGCCCTACACGATGACTCCATCTCTTAACTGCTCTATCTTCGTTCCTCTCTCCTCCCGTCCATAGGGGAGTCGGGATAACATGAGTGTTGTGATAGTGTGTTTGCCCAACGCCCCCAAAGTGTCAGAGGAAGCTGTGAGGAAAGACGCTGAGCTCAACAAATATCTGGAGTCAAGAGTGGAAGGTGAGAATGAATGGATGGACAAAAAGTGTGCGGAACATAATGACAATGTTGAATATTTATGTTGAATTTATTGCTTGATTTTATATTTTTCATTTCTTCTGAAACCGCTCTGTATCCACAGCCTTTGTGTGGCTTAAAATTAACCCCCCCCCCAAGCAGCTTTAGTGTTATACAGTAAATCTTGAATGCTTTTATAAAAGCCTTGGTTTACATTCTTCTTATTGTCAATAAATCACCCATGAAACCGTCAATACTGTCATTTAAAATTTTTACTTGAGAAAACAGGTCTATATCTTTCCTCAGCTGAAACCTTATCATATCTGTATGATATGTGTTTTCTCCACACACTGATCCTGCCACTCTCTATTCTCTAACCTCCAGCCAAGTTAGCGCAGGCTCACAGCAGAAGAATGACACCAATTGTGACCTCCTTTTCCATTCCAGCAAGCATCTCCCCTCTTTATTCCCTGTTTGCTCCTCTCCTCCCTTTCCCTTCCCCTTCCCTCCCTCGCTCAAACATTCCCTGTCTTTTTTGGATGTATGCCCTGCTCTCCTCCTTTTCTTTCTGTCTTTTTCATCCCATTTTGTTTTCTCAGGATGCAAGGGGCCCTCTGATAAACATAGTCCAGTTTTTCTAGTCTTCGTTGCATATTTCTGCTCATTTCCCTCGCTTAAAAAAAATGGGTTTTTCAGCTGTTTCAGAATTAAGCCAAACAAGAAAATGTTTTTTTAAGCCCTAAAACTAATTAAATAAATTTGACATCTCAGTACTTCTTTTGTCTCGATCCATAAAAGCCTGTGTCTACTATTTGGAACATACATTGTCGTATCCACTATAAAATGTGTCCTGCAGATGGTAAAACAGAGATAGTTGTGTATAATACTGCAAATCAGTGTTTGCTCAATTGATTGATCTGCACTCCAAAGTGGGTTCAAGCTGAAAGGTAGATGACACTTAGGCAGGGGTTTTGTTTGGTTGAAGCAAAGTAGATGTTTGGCTTCAGGTACTGTCTGATACTAGAAGAGAGTGAAAGAAAGAGAGTAAACAGAAAATGTTTGAGGAATGCTCTGGCTGAACATTGACCTGGCCTCATGCCACTCTCATCTCAGTTGCAGGCCTCTCTCTGTCACCATCTCTCCCTCTCAGTTTCAGACACACACTCATCTCCTCAGATTCACTTGTTCGGTTTCCATCGCCACCTCTTCTCCTTCTCAGTGACATTTTTTGTCTTTGTATCAGCTGTCGGCAGCCGTGTTATACGTGTATAACGACATGCCTCGTATTGTGTTTTCAGAGATGTTGTCTCGGCCGGGGGAGGAAGGGTTTCCAGACCTGGTCACAGTGATGAGGAACTTGTCTACTGACAGTGGCATGCCCCCTCTTCCACCAGGGGGAGGCCTTGCCAGCAAGTAAGGACCACTGCCCTCAAAGGGGATGCTGTGTTATATCACAGGAGTCACAAACATATGGAATAAAAAATAAATAAAAAACTTCAGATGACCTTAACAGAGCCAATATAAGAATTGACTAATAATAACAATTATTTATTTGTTCAAATGCTCAGCCCAGTAATTGACTTTTCGTCATTCTTTGTACAGGGTAGTATTTGCAGTCATTAAAGTAGGAGCAAGATGTTTTCCTTTCATCACAACTACCCTGTGCTGTGCCTTGGTTTTCCACATTCCTGCCTCTCATGTTACATTGATCGATGGTTTGAATAGAATAGCTCAAGAGACCTCATCACAATTTTTCTATTCCTGCAGACGCAGTGTTATTGAAGAAGTATACAACCGTCTGAACCCATACAGGGAGGAAGATGGGGTGAGTGTCAGTATATGTGATGAATGAATAAGCTTTGTCTTTCTTTTACCATTTATGCAGAACTCTCACACACAGATCTTAAGCTTTTTGTTGAGTTTCAGTCGTATCTGGAAATCTCTTATTGATTAATTCCGCCTCGTGGATCAGATGGGTGAACTTAATTGTGCAGTTAACGATCACACTCACAACCACAGAAGATGATGTAATGCAATTGACCTGAGGGGTGGCTTTAAGAAATCTCTCCTTCCCATTATGTTAAACATTGCATGATGCACACGCTTCGGCCTGCACTCGTGATGGGTTTTACATACATTTCAACATAGCTCTGTCAAAACCTTTTGCTCTTTTACCAAATCTAGTTTCTACAGGTGAAAGCATTCTCTTCAAATGTACTCGCTGAAATATATCAAGAAGTGGTGCAATCTTTGTTCATGAAAGAGTCCTCCTTTATCAGTTTACTTCTTATTCTCTCTTTCATAGTTTTTTTATTCTGTCCTTAAACAAAGTTAGGTCTAAGGATTTTAAAGCAAACACTGTCTGGATCAGTCTGGACTTACTAGACATTAGATTAATATAAACCACAATGCTAAACTCAAGTATCTGCCACTGCTGCAAGAACAGTTTTCCTCCTTTTGAGCATGACTCCACAGTTTATGGAATTGCAAGTGTACTTTTTCTTTCATCCTTCAGCTTTGTACTTCCCTTTTTTGTTGTGAGAAATATTGAAAATACAAGTTGCAGACTTGGAAACACACTTACACACACACATATGGTTTGCAGTTTGCTCCCTCAATGAGGACAGTGGCTGCAGTCAATTGAAGAATCAGAACATCAGAAGATACTTTCTGTTTTTGCAGATCAGAGCACTCTGTGTATGAGTGAATGTGACTTTAAATGATGGATCAGATGTGTTTGAGAGGGAATGACACAGAAATGCCCATGTGACCATCTGAAGAATCAATAGAGTTGGTGTGTGCGTGTGTGTGTGTCCGTGTGTGTCCGTATGTGTCCGTCCTGTTAGTAAGCAAGTGTTGGAGGTGACGTTGACTTCAGTGTTGTCTTGGTTTGTCTGTAGGGATGTAAAGTTACTCTGTTTGTTTGTTTATATTTATTGTGAAGCACTTTGTAACCGTTTTTAGATTAGTGCTATACAAATGAAGTTATTATTAATCTACACAATAATAAGTCTTTATAACTCAGCTTAAAGCCACTATGTGATTTTAGCATCTGTCCAACTATTGGACTTAAGTTTTCTTACTGTAGAAAAATTAGTGGTTGAAAGTTGGTCCATCCATTTGGGGATGGGCGGGACAGAATTGTGCATTGCTGAACACAGCGACTTTTTTTTCTGATCTCGTCCCCTGGGTGCACCAGAATAGTAATTTTATAAATTTTACAAAAAGTGGCTTTTCAATTTTAAGGATTTGATTTTAATCATAGTGTTTAAGAAATGCTGTATTTTAAAGAGCAATCTAGCATTTGTAGTTTTAAACCATTCAGTTGGCTATAAGCGAAATAATTATATTAGATTTGTTTAATAATTTGTACAATAGCAGTTATCAGAATATAGTTTTTCTTTAATTCAAGGTGCTGCCAGTAAAATATGACTCTAATTTACATCTCACAGCTGCCTCCAGAAGCTACCAAGATTCACCAACATATGTTAAGATTATTGCCTCTTCGCTTTATGGTTGAGTTTTGACTCACTAAGGTTTTAAGTTTTACCTTAAATAATATTTTGAGCCTGTTTTCTTTTTTGCTTGGCCATTTCTTTGCGATAAATGTTTGATAACAGCATTTTAGTAAGAATTGCCCATGTTTTTGGGGGGTGTCCGCATCAGTCCCCAAAATATCCATATCAGTCGGGCTCTAGTAGTTTCTATATATATAGTAAATAATCTAAACACACACATTGAAAAGGGTTGTATCGAATTTTCTAACTGTGTTCACCCTCTGATTAACGCAGCCCTCCTGTTTCATTTGGTAAGTGATCACATATCACATATATAATTATAACACCTCTGCCCTCTTCTTCCAACTCGTCATTTACACACGTACACAACTACACATACACACATCCGTACACATTCTTACAGGCATGTAAGTGGCGACCTGTTGCGCATATTCCCCCTGTCACACCTTCATCAGTCTCTACTCCCTCCTCTGATCTTCTCTATAGCATGTGGAGCCCATTCAGACTTAAAGGCGCGTGCGTATGTGTGTGTGTGTGTGTGTGTTTGTGTGCGTCTGCGTGTAGACATGACTGTCCAGGTCTGACGAGGATGAGTGATTGGTCAGTGTTTCTGGTCCTGTCAGCCCCTCTCTCACTTTGCACTCACAAACACGCATGCACTGGCCCTACACGCATGCATCGCTGTCTCACTCAGTCTTCCCACAACTGCACGCAAGCATATAACAGTCTCTGTTTCTGTGTCACTCCCTGCTGTAGGATAAGAAAAGGCTTTGGAATTGTTGTGTTGGCATAAAGAAGCTACACACTGAGATTGATAGTGTGTCCTGGCTTTCTCTGCTATTGTTTTAGTATGTTTTGTTATTTTCTTGTTGTGTTGATCATAGGAACCTACCATTGAAGACAAGGCTGGGAAAGCGAAACAATAATGCACTGTAAAGATTTTTTCCACTTTTAATAACAGTGCGCTCTCTTTTTTCTCCCCTCTCTCACCCTGCTCTCCCTCCCCTTGTCTTCCTTATCTTCTATAATTCTTCCTTCCTTTTCTTCATTTTGCTGCTTTATTCTACTCCCCCCCTCCTTTTTTCTCTTCTCATTGTCTCTTCCCCTTCTCTTTTGTGTCTTTCGTCTTACAGAGCGGAGCTGACTTGGAGTGTCACTGGTAGCTGTCCAGCACAACTGCCTGATCCAACAAAACAGGACCACTTTTCCACACGCGATCACATCCATTGTCACCTTTTTAATTTGCTCTGGGATTTTTTAATTTATTGTTTTTTTTCCCCCTCCACACTGAGAGATCAAGCGACGCTGAAATCCTGGTTTTTAGAAACACACAGCACACCCGATGTGGAGGACTGCAAAACAGATTTGGTTCTTTTCATAGAACAAAATGTTGAAAAACGAGAACAACTGCATCAATCTCCTGAAAAGAGAACGGTGTATACAGTATATACATCATAGGAGAGGCAAACAAGCACAGTTTCTCTTGCCCCTCGTCTGCTTGCTTTTTTTGTAGTGGTTGTTTTTGTTGTGGATTGACAGAGATACAGGAGCAGCCCTGCTCTGAACGCTTTGGGGCAACATGGTGCCTTGCTCAGAACTGAGAGAGAGGGAGGACTTCATAACAGCCAGCCATGACCAAACCAGCCGCCCATGATCGTTTTCCACATTCTGATTGGCAGCAGATTTTTTTTGGCATTATTTGTTTTGAAGTGTGAACTTTACTTGCGCCTGACTGGTAGCCAATTGACCACACAAGCCTGTGAGTCCCACACACACAGTTCAGGCAAGTTTGGTTTCTGGACATTTGCTGGTACTTGACCAGGGCCCAACACTTCACCTGCCCAGGCACACGACTTGCTGGAGAATGCCTCACAGAGGTTTAAAACTCCCAAAGTCCTCACTATCCAAAGACCTCTGGTTTAAAAACCTCAAATTCAGCAGCCAAGAGCTCTTTCACCTAAGGCCGCACACCTGAACCTGACCACAAGGGAACTAATTTCAGTTTTCTTTCTTCTATGGTGTCCAAACTAAAACAGGAAACAGCTGTGATGATCAGCCTGGCTACACATAGGAATTACATGGAGTACAGTAACTCAAATTTGATGATTCTTCTTGCACGTCCCTGCTCACTCTCTCCCCTCTTCGTCACTTAAAGGATGCTATCAAACCCCCCGTTTTTCCCCCTCCGTCTCTCTTCTCACTTTTCTGTTTCTTCATATGACAGAAGAGTCACTTGCATCGGCTGACATGGTCGGAATCATAAGCTTTTGAACCTGCTGTTGTTTAAGA